CTAAACTAAGAAATACATTTGCGTTTTCGACATTTTGATAAAACCATGCATCATTAAGGCCAAGTTTACATAATAAATCTCTTACCAACGAACGCCAGTTTTTCTTATTAGGAAATTGGTCTAAATCATTTTTCAACATTAGATATACCTTATATGTTATATAAAAACACTTTTACTTTACACTCAATGTTGGTATCGTTTTAAAAATAGTCTCTTTCAATCTATGCTAATGACTGAAGAAACCATTTTAACGTTGCTTTATTCAGAATACTTTGATATAATTGCTTATGGACGTAAATGAAATGATAAATTCCTAAACCCAAGCCCAAACCTCCTTGTATAAATATAATATATACAAAATATAAATTAGATGATAACATTATGATTCTATCTTCTTATCGTTATTTAGTTGTTTTTTTTAAAGAATTTTGGCGTATAATCTGTAAAACTATCTTTACATCGGACATGTAGACGATAAGTTTGTTCGCATTTCATGTGAATCTCGTGAAGAAAAAATAAAACAATAATGCGTGTCTTTACAACACCCTGATAAAATATGTTGGCAACATGATAAGTGCTTCAATTACTTTGAATGAAATTTAAGAAGCACGCCATGATAAATACAAATTTTCATTAAAATAAGAGTATTTAAATCATAACCATATTAGTAAATATATAAGCGCACAAGGATCTTTTATGATCACAAACTATCAAACAAAACAACGCGTCAAAATACACAAAATACAATAAATTTATGTAACTCTTGAATTCTTAACAATACTATCATCCAAAGCAAAAATGATGAACATTGGTTAACATGTAGTAAGATATATGACAAATATACCCTGTCTATATTTTCTGTTTGCAATACTTAACCTGAAAAAAACCCTCAAAACACAATGAAATTAATTTTGATATAAAAGGAAAACGTAAATTATGTCGTCAATATTGAAATGTTTTAGCATATTTTAATGTATGTTTTTAAAGCTTAATACCCGAATGTCAACTTCACATACAATATTCATTTTCCCGTTGCATGATTAATCATTCAACACATTCTTATACACATAATAAAACCGAGATTATTTCAGAGGTGAAGTTCAATTTCTCAAGTGGCTTGTTTTTAAATCATCATGATTTTCATCTTATATTTCACTTATCATGTTTCATTGGTTCCTTGTATAAATGTCTCGTTGGGTTTGAAACAAGTAAATTGATATCGGGCGACTGTTTATCATTTTCACAGTGAACGAAATGCTACGAAACATAATTGTACTGAAATTTCTGAATTTATCATTTTTAACTACATGAATGTCAGCATAAATCATGTTCAATTATAAATCAATATGCTGATTGGCATTGCTGCATGTTTATGTTTAACATTAAAATATTACAACCTGCTATTTAATCCTAAGAAAAGTATAAGTCAAGAACAATTAAATGAATTTTTCCATGGTAGCCTGTCCGCGATATTTTATTATTTTTTTGGGATATTCTTTTTATGTAATCTCCTTAATATATAATACATATCATTTTAAAGTATATTTAAAACTCTTCAATTTTTTAGCTTTTTAATTGAGGTATTTTGTTTATTTTGAAGCTTTAAGAAACAATCTTTATCTACTTTATATCGGTATCATTTATTTTGACGAGGAAACATTGAAATATAGATATGTTTTATATTTACATCTAAAAGGACATGAAAGGTTATTTATGAATAGTTCAATAGCTACTGCTTTATCGCCGTAACACTAATTATAAATTGCTGGAATCTGTATTTTAAAAAATTAAGACATATTAAAGTATGTGAAAAATGTATTGTAATGCCTAGAATATCACAAGTTTGATCTTTATCTGCTAGTTCAGATTAATAAAAAAATAAAAGTAAGTGAAATGCAGTGAACAGTTTTAATGTTTTATTTCATTGTTGACCATTTGTAAAAAAAAAACACAAAATAAATATAATTTTATAAAATCATAAAAAGCATTACAAAAGTGAACGTAAAAGAAAGAAATCCAAATAAAATTATTGAAAATCTATCCATCATTACAGCTAAGTCCTCGTATGTGTAAGGACATTGTTCTATATTGTCTTCATCTTTACTTTCTGATGGTGTCTTCTCGGTTATGTCCTCCTTAGTTACTTCTTCAACAACAACTAAATGACTGTTTTTCGCCGATTTTGATAATGATTCCGTTTTGCTGAAATTAATTAACTTTATTAACAGAATACATTTCAGATACATAATCTTATTTGCAGGACAGAATTTGCGTGCCTAATTTTAGCCTTCAGTTATCTTTGTTACATTTGTTTCATATGCTATTTAATAGATATGATGAATACGTATATTACTTATAATACTATTGTTTACCATGTTTAAATGTACAATTATGAGTGCAATTTACCTTCAAAAAAGAATTATAATTCACTAATATGCTACTCGTGTCTGAATTATTTCCTACGTGTTAATAGATTCCTACGTGGTACCTTTTCCAATTAATCAAAAGTAATCCGTATATCTTTTATTTACTAAATTTAACTAAAAGATAATCATACTCTGAACATACCAACTAATTTTATTTCTCTTCATGCACACAAGAAAGGCTAGAAAATTTGCAAATGTTTTCATATTCCTTGACATTTTATCTTTATCCTTTCTGTAATGTTTCAGATGTAGAATATACACTGTCATAATAAGTTCTAGACTGCTAATGATTGTTCCACCAAGCATATATAAACCTGAAAGTTAAAGAAATGATAAATCATACTAAATGCTTTTAGCATTCACATAATACATGCACTTTGCTGTGTTTACCTCATCAAGAAATCATTAAAAATGACGAGTGAGACAGAATTGATGCGACTCATCTTGTAACTTGTAAATTACATTTCTGACAGTTTACAATAACAAAAAATTCAAAGCTCAATAGCTTACGAATACTCTCTTTTTGTAAAAGAATACCTCAATTTGTTAACATAATTTCTAGGCAATTTCCATTAATCCCAATATATAATATGCTCTGAAGGTATTGGGGAGTTACCAGCCCAGTGCTTGCCGAAGGCTGTAGCATTTAGCAAACCATATGCTTTAAGCTAGTAATAAGGAAATCGTCCAGTCTATCCGTATCAGGGAAAATACGTTGTATAATGACAAACATGCAATTTTGATTTTCCATTAAAGTGTCTGTGACAAGTATGTCCTTATCAGACATAGCATTTTTGGTACAATAAAGATATGTGTGTACAGTTTTTAGATCATTTGTCAAGCATTGTTTTCTTAATTGTTTCCGGTTCCATTTTCTCTCAGAATCTTCTTTGAATTTAATAAACTCGTGTTTATAAGCCATAGTGACGAGCTTATTTCTTAATGTTAATCAAACAGGACCTCCGACAATTTGAATATTTATTTACAATTACAGTTTTGGAGATCTTCAACTTTCTCTGTTAGATATCCGTTAGGTAATATTATACTTCAATACACTACGTCCGTTTTCCATAAAATAATTTTTACACTACCTTATAAAAATATACCTTACTTTAATTAAGGAATAAGATTCTTTAACCACTTTTGTCGACCAGAAGATACTTTCATGATTTCCATTGGCAAGATTCATCGAGGTTTATGTAAAATTGTATACGAATTGTATATTCACAAAGTTTAATGAAATTGTTATAAAAAAGCCAAAAATAGACACAAATTAGTGAACGCACTTAAGTCAACAGTGACCTACAAAAGAGCAACCAATAATTATAGAATTCGCGAGGGGTTATTACTTCATACAAGTAACTGGAGTAAATTTTACAAATAAGTAAAACATGTACACTGGTAAGCTTAAAATTAAAAAAAAACAGACATACTCAAAGTAGGTATCTGTAATGACGTTGTCGGTTTTTTCTTTTCCCCTACCAAGGGCATCATAAAATGTCAAAAGACAACAAAAAACCCTCAAAGCAAAAAAACTTTTTCGCCGGAAAACCGGAAAAAGCAAATTTTATGCCAAGCAGCTTTCATGAAGAAAAAATGGGGAAACACATATTAATTAAATGTATGAATAATTTTTTGTTTTTAAAATTTTTATACCGAAAACAAATACTCCAGGGGGAAAAAAAAAGTAAGGGGCCCAATATCTATTCTAGCGTTTCGTTTGTTTTTGATTTTCAATTTTGCCCCTTTTTCTCCAAAAGGTCAAATCAATTACGTCTAAACAATTTTTCAATTTTATTTTACTAGCGGAACATCCCTGTTTATATCCCGAAAAAAAGAATAAGTAAGATTAAAATTAAACCCGTAAAAATTTTTTTTTTATTTGAATTATGTTATCTTTTGGTTTTATATTGTAAGACAATTAAACGTCATTTTAAAGTTCACAAAATGTTTCCCATGTCGTTCCTTAGGAAATGAAATAAATAGAGGATATTGAATGAGTGTAAGTTCAATACTAAAGTTATTGCACGAGTTGGAAAAAATTATATTATGCGAGCCTCTGGCGAGCATGATATTATTTGATTCAACGAGTGCAATAAATTCAGTAATGAACTTACATGAATTTCATATTCTATTTATCACATACCAAAAATAAAGACCGTTTAAAGTGAGATAAGAGTCATTTTTCATTGACGCGCTTATAGTATAACGCTAACATTTTGCGCGTCTTTACACTATGTTTGTAAAAACGCTAATGACGTCACGTCAAAATATATGCACGGCCGTGCAATACCATATTTACGGAGTCGCCAAAATCGGCACGGTGATAAATGACGATATGGCAAGAGGCAACATTCTATACTGTAAACTGAAAATCTTTCTAATGGATGTTTGAAAAATAAAATAATACTGGTATGATGATAAAATTCATACCTATAATAGGTTAATGGTTTACCTTTTCCATCAAATTTGTAGCTGATATTGTGGCATATATAAAAACACGCATTTACAAGAAACGAATATAACGCAATGTTTTCAGATTGATAACAAACAAAGAGAGATTGTACTGAAATGTTAGAACAAGAAAGAAATATATGAACATACCACGATTTCACATGTCTGTGTATCGAAGGGAAATTTGGAGATGTCCACTGAGCAGGATGACACAAAGTAAGCTGGTGCGAGCCAAAATACTGAACCACTGGGGTTTACACTCATTGGGATACTTTTCTGGTTCCCGTCATCGCCTATCACTTCTATTCCAGTAACACTGTAATTGTCAACGTTACAGTGGAAGATTAAGAATAGTATTAAGATTGTACATTTTGAACATTCAGTTATCAAATATATACATGGCCTTTTGTGAATCCTATATTATACATAAAATCTACAGTAATATGCAATAACTTTAAAAGTAACATTTCTTTTGACTTCAAAAGTGATATTACGATTGACAAATACTGAAAATCATGATTTTCATGAAAATGTCAATTTCATTAATAATTCAACTGGTTAATTTTTATTATATACTGTATGAGAATCTTCTTTATAAAATATTCAATGTATAAAAATCGGATGCATGTTCAAAATATGAATTCGATTTATTATAAGATAAAGTAACTCACGAGTTTTTCAGTGCAAGTGTAGGTCTCCATATCTGACCTGATTTGAAAAAAACGTTAGACACGTTTCCGTTTTGAGATATGTTCCAAGAAAGGCGATGATCATTCCAAATCTATAATATAATGACTTTTTCATATACACCATCGAGGGAAATTATTGTATATTGCCACATGGCTTAAATCTAATGTACAAACAAGTCGTGATTTTGGTGGTTGATTTGTGTCATTCGTGTTTTTTGCTCCGCTAGCTCGCTAAGCGAACATACGAGCATTAACAAGTTAAAATTGCGGGGTGCGCTAGCCTTATTAGCGGAGACGCGGGGCAAAGTTTTAATTAATAATAATTTGCCACGTGGGGGCGCGGATCGAGATTTAAAACGGCGGGGCAAGAAGCGAAAACCCGCTCACTAGCGGGGGTGCGGGAAAAAGTTTAATAAAAAAAACTTCGCCCCGCGCACACGCTATTTAGAATGTGTTCGCTCCGCGCCCCGCCGTTTTATATCTTAAATCTCGCCCTGTCTGCCCACGGGGGCGACAAATCACGTTCCCGCTAATTAGCGTGTTTTCGCTTCGCACCCCTGCCTTTTATCTACTTAATTCTCGACTTTTGGTTTGGCGGGGCCGGAAAATGTTTTGTTTATTAAACTTCGCTCCGCGCCCCCTCCTTTTTATTTTCTAAAATTTCGCTTCACGCACCCGCGGTATTGACGTTCTATTTATCAAACTTCGCCCGGCGTTCCCTCTTTTTAGCGTTTTTCGCTCTGCGCTCCGCCGTTTAACTTGTTAGTTCTCGACTTTTCGCTTGGCGAGGCGAAAACACGCTAATTAGCGGGGTTGACAGTCGAGGTCCTATTTTTTGTTAAAGATTGCCCCGCGTCCCACTAATACGCGTGTTTTCGCTCCGTACCCAGATAGTTTTTTTTTATTAAATCTTAATCCCCGCTACCGCGAGTCGAAGTTTTATTTAGGTAAACTACGCCTTGCTCCCCTTGCTGATAGGCGTGTTTTTCGCTCTGCGCCCCAGCAATTTTAACTTGTTTATTCTCGAGTTTTCGCTTGGCGGGTTGCGAGGCGAAGACACAAATGCCACAAATCAGCCAACATACGTGTGATAGCAATTTCTTTGAGAGTTTGTCTCCATAAATACTTACTAAATATGAAAACTATTTCCTATAAAAAAGTAAAAAATCTGAAATTCTTTTAGATAATGATTTGTTCCTTGTTTGACGTAGTATGCGAAAAAAATGTTTAAACACATTTACACGATTATTTAACGCATATAAAAGCATAATGTTCTCTTAAGGAATCGTTAGATGAAAACTTTGCAAGTTAATGTAAATAAACTTACGACTACCAAAGATCCTATAACTGCTAAGGTCTGATCTACAATATCCTTGAAAATGATAATATTACATATTATGTAATTATAGCCGCCTCGGTCTTCAACAATATAATGACTGCAAGGTATTAAACAAGAAAATCAAAATTGTGTGATGGTGGTGGTGTTTGGGTAGTTTTCACTCCGGATCACGGCAGAAAGTCACATTGAATTCACCAGAGCATATTTCAACCACCGCATCATTCCTGGGCAGACTGTCAAACAGTTTACCAGTACTTGTTGCATTCACTTCGCAAGGAACTGAAACTTTGTACATGCCAGAGCAGAGGTACAATGCGAATGACTGTAGAAAGGATTTTCCTGATCAATCACAACGAAAGTGACCTTTGCGTCGTCCGGGGAATCGAACTCGGGTCGCCCGATTCACAGTCCAACGCCCTACCTATTGAGCTAACCGGGGGGAGGGGACGGCTTGTTGTATCAAACATTGTTTCAAAGTAAAAATTCATTTTATACTTGTGACAGTTTGAAAAGACCTGTTTAACGATTTTATACCGTTTAACAATACGTTTTTTTTTAATTTGCCAATAAATATATTTGTAATATTCATTTTTTCATACCCAGTGAAATATATTGTTTATTAATAAGATTTCTTAACCTGTGACAATTGTTTTGGTTTACAATAAGATTTCTAATACCAGTGACAATGAATTGTTATAATAAGATTTCATACCAGTGACAATATATTGCCTATAATAAAGATTTCATACCAGTGACAATGAATTGTTATAATAAGATTTCATACCACTGACAATATATTGATATTATAAGATTTTCATACAGTGTGAAAATATATTGTAAGAAATAAGGATTTCATACCAGTGAAAATATATCTTGCTATAATAAGATTTCATACCAGTGACAATGAATTGTTATAATAAGATTTCATACCAGTGAAAATATATTGTTATAATAAGATTTAATACCACTGACAATATATTGTTATAATAAGACTTAATACCAGTGACAATATATTGCTATAATATGATTGCATACCAGTGACAATATATTGTTATAAATAAGATTTCATACCAGCGACAACATATTGTTATAATAAGATTTCATACCAGCGACAACTATTTTATAATAAGATTTCATACCAGTGACAAATATATTGCTATAATAAAGATTTCATACCAGTGACCAATATATTGTTATAATAAGATTTCATACCAGTGAAAAATATATTGCTATAATAAGATTTAATACAAGTTACAATGAATTGTTATAATAAGATTGCATACCAGTGAAAAATATATTGTAATAATAAGATTTCATACCAGTGAAAATATATGTTTTTATAATAAGATTTCATACCAGTGACAATATATTGTTATAATAAGATTTAATTACAAGTTACAATGAATTGTTATAATAAGATTGCATATACCAGTTGAAAATATATTGTTATAATAAGATTTCAATACCAGTTGAAAATATATTGTTATAATAAGATTTCATACCAGTTGAAAAAATATATTGCTATAATAAGATTTCATACAAGTGACAATATTTTGTTATAATAAGATTTCATACCCAGTGAAAATATATTGTTATAAATAATATTTAATACCAGTGACAATATATTGTTACAAATAAGATTGCATACCAGTTGAAAATATATTGTTATAATAAGATTTCATACCAGTGAAAATATATTGTAATAATAAGATTTCATACAGTGAAAATATATTGCTATAATAAGAATTTCATACCAGTGACAATATTTTGTTATAATAAGATTTCATACTAGTGACAATATATTGCTATAATAAGATTGCATACCACGTGAAAAATATATACTTATAATAAGATTTCATAACAGTGACAATGAATTGTTTTTAATATGATTGCATACCAGTGAAAATATATTGTTATAATAAGAATTTCATACCACTGACAATATATTGATATAATAAGATTTCATACCAGTGACAATAGATTGTTATAATAAGATTTTCATACCAGTGAAAATATATTGTTATAATAAGATTTCTTACCTGTGACAATTGTTTGTTACAATAAGATTTCATACCAGTGACAATGAATTGTTATAATAAGATTTCATACCAGTGAAAATATTTATTTATAATAAGATTTCATACCAGTGGCAATAGATTGTTATAAAAGATTTTTGATACCAGTGACAATATATTTTTGATAATAAGATTCAATACCAGTAAAATATATTTGTTATAATAAGATTTCAATACCAGTTGAAAATATATTGTAATAATAAGATTTCATACCAGTGAAAATATATTGCTATAATAAGATTTCATACCAGTGACAATATTTTGTTATAATAAGATTTCATACCACTGACAATTTATATTGATATAATAAGATTTCCCATACCAGTGACAATATATTGTAATAATAAGATTTCATACCAGTGAAAATATATTGCTATAATAAGATTTCATACCAGTGACAATATAATGTTATAATAAAATTTTCATTACCAGTGACAATATTTTTTTATAATAAGGATTTCATACCACTGACAATATATTGATATAATAAGATTTCATACCACTGACAATATATTGATATTAATAAGATTTCATACCAGCGACAATATATTGTGATAATAAGATTCATACCAGTGGAAAAAATATATTGTTATAATAAGATTTCATAACAGTGACAATGAATTGTTTTAATATGATTGCATACCAGTGAAAATGAATAATGTTATAATAAGATTTTCATACCAGTGACAATAGATTGTTATAATAAGATTTCATACTAGTGACAATATATGCCTATAATAAGATTTCATACCAGTGACAATATTTTGTTATAATAAGATTTCATACCACTGACAATATATTGATATAATAAGATTTCATACCAGTGAAAATATATTGTGATAATAAGATTTCATAACAGTGACAATGAATTGTTTTAATAAGATTTAATACCAGTTACAATATATTGTTATAATAAGATTTAATACCAGCGACAACACATTGTTATAATAAGATTTCTCACCAGTGACAACACATTGTTTATTGCAAGAGAACATTGTACGAAAAACTTGATCAGCCGGTCGAACGTTGATATTGTAACCAGTTAATAAATCTGTTTGTAATTTTACTCTCGTCATCGATTTATAGAATAGGCACCAGTTTCCGAAATAGATTAAATAAATGATATATACATATACATATATACATATTATTTCTTGATATTCGTTATGAATGACATATTATTTCGAATGTGCGCTCTGTATAACTGTTGATATGTCTCATAATTTGACCCAACAGAATTTCACTACCGTAAAACATAAAAAATCGTTCAATATTTTAATAATACTTTTGTAAAAAAAAACAACCATACATTTCCTTTAGCTCTAGCTGTCTAATTTTTATCTCATAATTTATTGTTATCTGTATTTACATTTAAATATTTTTTCTCTAGATACTTTCCAATTAACAATGTCCATAATGATAATTAATTGAATAAAATAAAGATTTTTTACCTTGATCAAAAAAACGTAAAAAGCACAATCCCAAAAATTTTTAAAACATTTTTATTTTGGGGAAGTTAAAAACCGGGTCCCCCACGCAGGGGACTGGGAAAACAGCTTTTTATTTTAAGTACAAGATATACCAAAAGCGCCAAACTTTTGCGCTTTTTGACAAAACCCTTTATGTAACCCGGAAATAAATAAATGTCCATTAAAAATTTTTTTTTAAAGGGTTTGTATTTACTTTAAAAAGGTTACGTTTGTAAATTTATTTTTGCATTATTTTTTTCCTTTAAAGGGGCCATTTTTTCCGATCCCTTGCGTAATGGGAAAAAAATGGGAACATTGTTTCACATTGCTCAAAACGTGATTTCTATATTTAAATCATTATATAATTTAAGCTATAATCTCAGTTAGTTAGCGAGACTGGTTAAATATTGGTTAAGTATTAACTTTAACAACCTTTTCTGCCGGAAAATAAATGACCCTAAAACAAAAAGGTAATGTTTGCCTAAACTTACTTTAACTGTAAATTAAGATTTGTTGGTATTGAAAAATTCTCTCTTTTGTTACATTTCGTCAATGACCACCATTATGAAAATCGGACTTTGATTTTTTTTATTTAACTAGCAGATAGTAACAAACTGGCAGAAGTGTTTTTTGGTACTATACTAGCTGAAAATATATGTTTGATAATTACTAAATATATGTTTTAGGATATTTCAATCACTCTTATTTAAACATTATTCAAATATTTTAATATTTGATAGTATTATAAAATATTACTTTAAATTATTGAACGGAATTATACAGGAGTGTTTAATTGCAAAATTAGTTCTTATTTTGTTACAATCGAAATAAATCGGCCCTAAACAGAAGATTGATATTAAGTTACATGTATTTGTGTTTGATTCCAGAGTCAACGGCATTCATCATACCAAATAAAATTCCATAAATTTCATTCAAGTTCAGCAAGATTACTCTATTTAAAATTAAAACAAAAAAGATAATTAAAAAAAGCAATTTTGATTATACAGTTTTACATAAATAAATGCATGTTTAAAGAAAAACTAATTGATGAATTTTTCATTCAAATTTCAAACGAAATAAGTGAGCTAAACAAGCAATTTATCTATTTTATTCTGCCGTGACTGATGCTATGATTATATCAGTGTATATACCAAATATCTTAGTACCTAGTACTAACATTCTACACAAATCTAATTCATTGTTTATTCATATGTCTTATCAATTGAGATATTTATTTATCTTTATTTCTTACATTATGCCAATGGTCAGGACTATGAAACATTATGCTTGTGATAATTTTTGTTACCTAAAAATTTTGTTACGAAACAAATTCAAACCTCGACACATTGCGTGATTGCACAGAAGAAAAAAATTAAATGAAAGATTTTTTTTAAAAAGACGATCATATCTTTTCGTTAAGATTTCTTACATTTATATACATGTAAGATAATAATACGCTACCGATTACAATGACTCAATAAACAATTGC